AGTACTTTAGACACAAAAATTAAACCAGCAGCCCAGTGAACCCATTAAACCAGAAAGAAAAGGGAGAAGATGAAAAAGACCGACACAAAGACAAGGGAGATGAAGAGAAGTTCAGATACAGAAAAGGGAGAGCAAGAGAAAGTCAGAGAAAAAAAAGGTACACATTTTAAACAGTATATAATTTTACTTTTGTGTGTCCATAGTTGATAATTTATGGCTTGTGTGTTTTTTTCTCACTTTAGTAACACAAGATGGAAGACCATTGTGACGAGAGGGGCGGGGCCGAGAGCCGTGGGAACGGAGCGAGGCCGGTGGAGTAATTGCTAATGTGCGACACCTGTGCCACTCACCGGTCTCGAGTCTCACGGAGGAGCTCCGGAAGGATACATTTTATTATTGAAGTTTTCTTTGAGTGTTCGCTGGTTCCCGCCTCCTTCTTCCCGACCTACAAACTACGTTACAACCATAAACAACTGTTCCAATTTAGGCAGCAGCAAGCAGATCCAGTTAGGAGATTCTATCAGAGAACCTGTGGAAGACCATTGTGACGAGAGGGGCGGGGCCGAGAGCCGTGGGAACGGAGCGAGGCCGGTGGAGTAATTGCTAATGTGCGACACCTGTGCCACTCACCGGTCTCGAGTCTCACGGAGGAGCTCCGGAAGGATACATTTTATTATTGAAGTTTTCTTTGAGTGTTCGCTGGTTCCCGCCTCCTTCTTCCCGACCTACAAACTACGTTACAACCATAAACAACTGTTCCAATTTAGGCAGCAGCAAGCAGATCCAGTTAGGAGATTCTATCAGAGAACCTGCTGGGAAACCAAGGTAAATGACAACCAATGACAGCTCTTCCATGTTAATAGACAATAAATATTATTGCACAGGTAGCATATTATGAAAATAAGATTTTACAGTGGACATATTTGATAAACAGTTCAAACGGTTGTGCTGGGTTTTTTTCAGCTGGAACTCCAGATAACTCCAGATGATCATTGCTTTGTGAAGACTGCTGAAGAGAAATTACAAGTAAGTCTTTCTTAGATTAATAAGGATTGACAAAAGGGAGGAACAAAAGATGTAGAGGGCCCCATGTCCATGTGTTTGCCTTGGGCCCCAAAATGGCTAAATCCACCCCTGACAACAACTGCAATCAAGCGTTTGAGATAACTGTCAATGAGTCTTTCACATCGCTGTGGAGGAATTTTGGCCCCCTCTTCTTTGCAGAATTGTTTTAATTCAGCCACATTGGAGGGTTTTCGAGCATGACTGGACTGTTTAAGGTCATGCTACAGCATTTCAATCGGATTTAAGTCCGGACTTTGACTTGGCCACTCCAAAACCTTCATTTTGTTTTCTTAAGCCATTCAGAGGTGGACTTGCTGGTGTGTTTGGGATCATTGTCCTGCTGCATAACCCAAGTGCGCTTGAGGTCACAAACTGACGGCCGGACATTCTCCTTCAGGATTTTCTGATAGACTGCAGAATTCATGGTTCCATCAATTATGGCAAGTCGTCTAGTTCCTGAAACTGCAAAGATTTAAACTAATTTAAATATTAGTAAAAGATAACACAAGTGAACACAACATGCAGTTTTTAAATGAAGGTTTGTATTATTAAAGGAAAGAACTTTGGGCACATATCCGGGCCGGGGTCTCAGGACAACGTGAGTTATCCATTCCGAATTCTAGGCACGAATCGTCAACCGAGAATGCCTGCTGGTCCCCTACCTTCTTGACCGAGGCCAATGCGGTGAGGAGCGCTGTTTTTAATGACAGAAACTGGCGCGGAGGATTTAGCCTCCTTGCCCCTCTGAGAAACCTGATGACCAAGTCGTGCTTCCCCACAGACTTACCGTCTACTGCATCATGATGCGCGGCAATGGCGGCAACATACAGTTTCAGGGTGGAGGGAGCATGCGATCGGGCTGCGATCGGGCATCTACGGGGGTCTTCCCGGTGGGAAGAGCACCAACCGACGAACAGGTTCCACTTCAGCCTGTAAGCGTGTCTGGTAGACGGGGCTCTAGCTGAAGCGATGGTGTTTACTACCGCTGGAGGTAGCCCACCTAGAACCTCCGCGTCCCGTCCAGGGACCATAAGTGGAGATTCCACAAGTCTGGACGCGGGTGCCAGAGGGTGCCCCCTCTCTGAGAAAGGAGATCCCTCCTCAGAGGAATTCGCCAAGCGAAATTTGTCGGCCTCCCTCATATCCGCCAAGGTCAGCCATAGGTGGTGCTCCTGGACAACCAATGTGGAGATCGTCTGACCCAGGGCCCGCGCCGTGACTTTCGTCGCCCTAAGCGCGAGGTCCATCTGCTCTAGAGGAGATCTGCATGGAGGAATGGGCCAAAATACCAGCAACAGTGTGTGAAAACCTTGTGAAGACTTACAGAAAACATTTGACCTCTGTCATTGCCAACAAAGGGTATATAACAAAGTATTGAGATTAAATTTTGTTATTGACCAAATACTTATTTTCCACCATAATTTGCAAATAAATTATTTAAAAATCCTACAATGTGATTTTCTGGATTTTTTTTTCTTATTTGTCTCTCATAGTTGAGGTATACCTATGATGAAAATTACAGGCCTCTCTCATCTTTTTAAGTGGGAGAACTTGCACAATTGGTGGCTGACTAAATACTTTTTTTCCCCACTGTATATATATATATATATATATATATATAGTGTGTGTGTGTGTATGTATGCATGTATATACAATTACAATTTTAAAAAAGCTTAAAAAGTTTTAAAAAGTTTTCTGCTGCCACTGTAGTCTATAAAGTCATAATTATTATTAGTTGAAACTGAGGGGGGAAAAAGTTTAAATTTTCAGATAGAACGTTGTGAAGTTTGTATGTAAAAGTGATGATGACATTTTTTTTTCTTCTTTTTGGATGAACTGTTCCTTTAAAATGATTAAATTCTAGGATTTAACAGTATTGAAACACATTAAATCAAAGCACTAGGACAAAATGAAGTGGTGTAGGAGACACTCTGCGTGATATGGAAAGTAATCCCAGAAGCATGTAATTGTGAGCAAACAGTGTTTCTCAGCATACAGCTACAGCAGGGTATTTTTCCACTGACAGGCAGGTCAGAACATAGGTTAAAGGAAACAATAAGAGATGATAGAAACCAGCGGAGTGTTTTTCTAGAGGTGTGGACGCACAGTTAAATAGGTGAAATATGGTGGCCTCAGCAGGTGGGGGGATCTAGGTTATATCTAATTGAGAGAGAGAGTGAGGGAGACAGACGGGAGGGAGCGTTTCCCCCCTGCTTTCGCCTGTCTGGGTTTTTCTTTGAGCTCAGCAGGACTGGTAAAGTCCGTCTGCTAATTCGCATTTCACACATACCAACAGGAGGCCTCCGGCAGACAGAGAGAGGAGAGAGGAGAGAGGAGAGAGGAGAGAGGGATTGTGGGAAGGAGTGAGGAAAGGCAGAACTTGAGAGAAAGTGTGAACGGAAAGACAAGGGAGATTAATGGAAAATTTGAAATGTTGTACCAGAGTTGTAACAGAGTGAAAGAGGTGGAGAAATGGAGCTGCTGTACTTGTCAGATGCTGAAAAGTCGGTCAGTAGGTTTGGTTTAAGTTGGCATGAGTGAGCAGCAGGCTCCAGGGTAACACCAATTAAGATGCCAGCATTTGGCGCTTTAATCATTATTTTTCCGCTGTGTTGTGTCCTATTCCAGTGAGAAATTTTCATCTCAGTCTAGAACAGTTCAGTGACTCTATTAATTTGTTTGTTTGTTTGTATCAGTGACAGTTCATGCATGCAATGACTTATATACACCAACTATTTTAAATTTTATTTTGATATTATTTGGTGGAATAGAGTAGAAAAAATGTCAGGGTAATACAGACCTAATTTTCTTTTATTAATAATTTTTATAACAACAACAACAACAATAATAATATTAATAATATATAATATAAACAAATATTGCTCTAAAAATAGCTTCATTGCTTATGTTGATGTAGGCTAACCAACAAGCAGGATAAAAAGAAAACTACATTTTTCTTGACCTTCTTCTTCTTATTAATAATAATAATAATAATATTAAATAAGTAATTGTGTATTTTATTTATTTATCTGGTATATTTATTTTAACTAAATTGCTTCATTGCTTATTAAAGTGATTTAACCAACGTGCAAAAAATATTGTTATATAATAATAATAATAATAATAATACATTATTATTATTATTATTTGTTAATTATTATTAAATAAGTATGTTGTAATATAATAATAATAATAATAATAATAATAATAATAATAATAATAAAAATAATAATTTTAATATTAAATAAGTAATTGTGTATTTTATTTATTTATCTGGTATATTTCTTTTAACTAAATTGCTTAATTGCTTATTAACATGATTTAACCAGCATGCATAACATTTTTATAGTATTATTATTATTATTATTATTATTATTATATATTACTATTATTATTAATATTTGTTGTTAATTATTATTAAATAAAAAGTATTGCGTAATATAATAATAATAATAATAATAATAATAATCTATATAATCTATAATAATAATAATTTTCAACTAAATTGCTTCATTGCTTATTTAAAATGAACACAGAAATTATATCAGTGATTTATTTTTTTCATGTTATGTCAAAGTGTATACACCAACACTCAGGTGTAAACTTTTCTTGAAAATAGTATTTTTTTTTTTTAAGAATGATTATATGAAACCAATATTAATGCAAAGAGTACATGTTTTTTTTTTTTTTTGCTTTTCTTTGTTTTTTTATGTCTCTGCTTTTCGTTATCATGGACACACTTATCATTGACCCAAGCCCTTTATTCAGACACTGTATAAAGACCAGGCATGTATTATCACTGCTTGATCGTGTCTTTGGATCACAGGATTTCAGGGTAAAGGCTGTTTGGATTATGGAAACCTGAGTCAGAACATTTTCATATGTATTCACTTCACGTATCTGTCCATCTCCTCCTTCCTTTGGTTTGCATCCAGACGCTTGCTGTGCTGCATCCAGACGCTCAGGCCAAGTAAGAGCTTTCGCTGGAGGACTGTGGCCGTGGGGGATTTTTTTGCATGCTGTCCAGAGGCTGTAAATATCAGCAGAGCAAGTGTGGTTTATTTACTCTGGCTGAGACCTCAGCAGCTCAAACCCAGAGACACAGAAAGAGGCTCTGATAATCCCACTACTCTGGAACATTTGTCTCTGTGACTGAGGTTTTGGTTTCTAGATCCAGCCCTAGAGGAACAGAGATAGAGATGAGCAATGATAGCATGATGAATCTGGACTGTCTCTCTGCGTCCTGAGGAGACACGTGACTGACAGCAAACTCACAGCTGTGAATAGAGCTGGTTGAGATGGAGAAACCAAGAGTTCAGAGTCCAGAGAGACTGCCTTATGTCATCTCACCTGTGTATATAATCATGGACTGGACTGGGATTATTTATTTATTTATTTAGTTTGTTTTTGAGTTTGTTTCTTCAGCTGAACAGTTTTGGAGTAATGTAGCATTACATCACTTGCTCACCAATGGGTCCTCTGCAGTGAATGGGTGCCATCAGAATGATAGTCCAAACAGCTGTGTGTTTGTATTGAACAAATTCATCATTAAAAATGTTTTCATCTTCAAATGGTTGCTTCCAGCTAAATTATGAATCCTCTATAATAGTGTTTCTCCATGGCTTTCTTGTCTTAATCAGGAGAGAATATATATATATATATTATGATTATGCATTATGAAATTTTATTAAATATTATTATTTTTAGAATGTGTTACATTTTTTTAATAAAAATTCAAAGATTAATCCAATAAAATGTTTCCATTAATTGTTAGTAATAATCATATAATAAAATAATAAAAAAGCCCTGTTGTTACACCAAGCACCAGTAGCACTGAAGTTGCAGAGACAATGTACATAACTGCAGAACAGATCAGTGGCCAGACATCTGTGTACAGACCTGCAGGAGTGATGGATGAGAACCTGCCAGGTGATTTATGTGAGAGAGGAAGGGGGAGGGGTTGTCAGGGCAGGGGTACGTCCACATTAAACACTGGTTTGAACCCTGCCGGGGGCCCTGCCGTCCCCTGCATCTTTGAAGTCTTGAGGGTAAGTGCTCTTTAGGGGCCCTGTTTGTGTGCCTGGATCTGGAAAAGGACCATGGAGGTTGTGGGCATTAGTAAATCTGAACAAACCGTGTTTTGGCCGTGAAAACATTTGGGTTTCTTTTGTGACATCATATTTGGCTTTGTGTGAGTCTTTTATTTTTTTTAACCAGTAGACTTTTCATGGGTGTTTTCTTTACAAATTACAGTCTTTGTTTGTAACAACTCTGTCAGAGAGTTTATGAATGTGCTGTGTTCCCGAGTATGGTCGAACAACCTTCTTGAAGCCATCAGCAATTCATCAATCATTTTTATTTGAAGGATTGGTTGGCCCCACCGCCCAACCCAACTGTGCATCATGAGATTATTTCCATCTCTCTCTCTCTCTCTCTCTCTCTCTCTCTCTCTCTCTCTCTCTCTCTCTCTCTCTCTCTCACACACACACACTCTCTCTCTCTGTCATTTTCTCTCTCTCTCTCTCCCACA